TAATAAAAAAAAAATAGGTGATAAATGTCTATACTCTAATATAGATTACAGTAATATAAATGCTACTAAAGAACTTTTTATTTTGACTAAATATTATGCATAATTAAAAATTATTTTATTAAATTTATTTTTAATACTGTATATATATCGATATATTATATACAGTAAAATATATATATAAATTTTATTGGATTTATAAATCGCGTTTTTCATGAACTATATTACAAAACAGGCCCAAGAATTTAGATAGTTTTCTTTGAATAAACCTGTTTCACCTATAACCCTAATACTGTAATAGAGTATCAATTAACGATCTGAATCCATCAAACCATCTCAACCACATGGGAGAATATATAGATGCACTCGATAGTCACTTTGGTGAAATTAGAAATTTCCTTGTTAAAAACATTGTATACCAAAGTCGTGGTTATATTCGAAAAATAGTGATTAGTTTCAATACCACTCGATGCCTCGCTGAGACGAATTGAATGGTAATAAATCGTCTATAAATAATCACTCGCAAATTTAGTGTACGAATTTATGGCTCTGTCCTAACTCAACACGAATTTGGTAAGCAAAACCTGTAATGGTAAAATGATAATTCGATTAGCCAGTGCAAAATTAGGTAATGCACCAGTTCTACAGATAGTGCAAAATTTTTGAGAGATTTGTGTTTTTTTTATTACTCTAAAGATTAATTTCAATAATTATTATTACCAACTGACAATGGCTAGAACGAATTAACTGGTGAAAGATACCAATTAATACTTTTAAAAAAAGTCCATAAAAAAATTAATTAGAATATTACGATTGTTCTGTAGTTTCTGTCACTTCTTTTTTATCTTTAGATTCAACCGATTGTGATGCAATCGACTCCCAAGCCTGTTTTGCTTGCTCTTTACTAATTGGGCCAAAAACAAAATTAAAGACTTCGTAATAATCAGCAACGGGAACACCCGTAAGGCCCTCCTTAATATTCTCAGGTAACTCTTCCCAATCGTTAGTATTAGCTTTTGGAAATATTATGGTAGACACGCCAGATCTCTTAGCAGCTACCGTTTTCTCCCGAATTCCACCAACTCTTAAAACTTTACCAGTAAGCGTGAGTTCACCAGTCATTGCTATAGTTGGATCTAACGGTTTAGAAAAGGCAAGTGAGAGGAGTGATGTTGCCATGGTAATACCAGCAGAAGGGCCTATTATATATTGTTTTAAATAGTAACACGCATAACATAAATTAAAATAAGTTTCGAATAATTTAATAGTAATAAATTACATACCATCCTTTGGGGTTGCACCTTCAGGTGCGTGAAGGTGAATTGAAGCCCTTTCAAAAAATTTATTTTCTGGATATAGTCGTGCCATTAAACTTTTAGCAAATGTATAAGCAATAGTGGTGGATTCTTTCATTACATCACCCAATTGACCAGTTTTAGAGAGAGATGGTTTTGAAGTTGTAGAAATAATTGAATCAAGGGTAGATTCGACGTACAATGCAGAACCACCTAAATTTAATTTAGGTAAAAATTTTTTAAAAAAATGCATTAAATAAACATTTTTTTAGCAATAAAATAGTATGAATATACCCATGCTCGTCCAAGCCAATCCCATAACGACTCCAGGAGGAGTTTGATCATATAAACGATCTGAATGCCACAGTGGAGGTCCAACATAGTCCTTTAAATTTTCTGCGGTAATTCCAACATGAACATTGCTAGGTACATTTAAAGGTTTTCGCGGCTCAGTGGTGGTAGGAACATCATCAGTTTTAGTTTCCTCAGAAGTTTCAGCTTCAACATGGTCAAGTTCTTCTGATGCTAATTCTTCATCGCCAATATCTCGTACTATTTTAAGAGCTGCTTTTCGATAAACTTTGTCGATATGTTTCTTTAAATTGCGAACACCGCTTTCACGGCAGTATGACTTAATCAAGGTCTCAATGGCATCTTGTTGTAGTTGAACGTCTGCATTTTGTAAGCCAGCCATTTCTTTAGCTGTTGGCACAAGATATTTTGAAGCAATAGCAACTTTTTCATCAGCAACATATCCAGATAACTGGATTACTTCCATACGATCTAACAATGGAACAGGTATCGTGTCTACCACATTAGCAGTGCAAACAAAGAGCACTTTAGAAAGATTAATTGGTACATCCATGTAATGATCCAAAAAGGATGAATTTTGCTCTGGATCGAGGAGTTCCAAAAGCGCTGAAGAAGGATCGCCTTGATGTCCACGACCAATTTTGTCAACTACAATCAATAACGCATGATTTCAATTTGAATTTGACATAAATACATTATTATGGATGTCTGCTAAAGAACAATTACCTTCATCAATTAAAATCAATGGATTTTCGGTCTGTACCTTTTTCAAGGCTTGGACAACTTTACCAGGCATAGCGCCAACATACGTTCGACGATGTCCTTTGATTTCAGCAACATCGGTAAGACCACCAACGCTAAACCGATAAAACTGCCGCGATAGAGCTCGAGCAATGGATTTTCCAATAGAAGTTTTACCAACACCTTTAATAAGTCGCTCGTTACTAATTCGCAGCAAATACATGACTTTAGATATGCGAACGAAAAGTCATGATAACGTTACATACCGGGAGGTCCAACGAAGCACAAAATTTTTCCTTCAACAGTGCCTCTTAGTTTACCAACGGCGATGAATTCTAATATCCGATCCTTTACATCTTGTAATCCATAATGATCATCATCAAGCACTTTATGGCATGCTTAATATTGTAATTCTCCGGAGAACTTTGGCCCCATGGAATTTGGGTTAGCCAATCTAAATAGTTACGAGTGACATTGAATTCGGAAGCTGCGGGCTCTAAATGAGCAAGTTTATTGATTTCCTAATGAAATGAACGAAAGACTGAGAATGAACAGAACATTTATAAACAATCTATGTTCACAAATAATTTTGTGCAAAACAAATTGAATTCACCTCATCAAAAACTTTCTTAACATTGTCAGGCATGGCGAGTTTATCTGCTTTTTCTTTGAACTTTTCAATGAGTTTGTCTTTTCCATCTGATTCAATCCCTAATTCTTTTTTTATTCCTTTTAATTGTTCCATTAAATAATATTCTCTTTGTCGCTTTGCAATTTTCGATTCAACTTCTTTACTAATTTTGTTTTGTAATTGAGCATTAACTAATTCTTTTTTTAGGACAAGTAAAGCTTTTTGTAAACGCTCTTCAATAACTAAACTTTCTAAGATTTCTTGTAATTCATTTGGTTCTCCTGTTGAAACAGCAGCTGCAAAATCGGCAAGTTTTGCAGGTTCTTCAAAAACATTACCAGCAGACTGTGACATGGAAAAATTTGCAATTTGATCACGGAAGAGTGGGTTCAACGTTGCTATATCTTTGAATACTGCTACAATTTCAGATGTTATTGCTCGAATTACTTGATTCTTTCTATTATACTGCTCATCATTAAGATTTTCAACGTTTACTAGTGAGACATTATAATCTTCAAGAAAAGATGTAGCATATTGTGGTTCAGGCTCTACCAATTAATTCAAAATGATTGGATTAATGAAATATAAATTCCAATGAAGAGAACTTTATCATGACAAACAAACCTTTATTAGCGCTCGTTTCAGAAGCTTGCTGTACTGGCTGGGGAATTATTTCAGCTTCAGAAGTATTAGCTGGTAAGGGTGGTAAAAGTTCATTGATGCGGATGCGTCGATGAGGATATAAGACAGCAGTCAATGAATTTTCATCATGACCACCGTTAGCTGGAAAAACACTCGTAATTTGGGAAAATACACCAACTTTATACACTTGTGCAATATCTGTGATAGTATCTACATCTAATTCTTCATCTTTAAGTAGAAATGCACCAACATAAGGTTGCCCACGTTTCATTAATTCCTTTACAGCGGCTGTGACATGCGGATCTTTAATCACAACAGCTTTGTAAAATCCGGGGAAAAGAGGTCGCCGAGCAATAGGAAGAGCCAAAACTTGTGGATATACCTCTGGTATAGAAGGCCTTTGTAAAGTTGTTTCCAGAATATGCAAAGTTCTATGGATATTCTCAAATGGGGATCGAGGAGAATTATTGTCTCCTGACCCATCACCACCTTTTCCTGATCCATCACCTTTATTTCCATTGCCAGGATTATCTGCGTTGTTACTATTGCTTGAATTATTTTGATTATCACCACTGTCACCACCTTCTCCCTGTTGGCCGTTATTTTTTGATCCACTATCGGAACCTTCCGACAAATTTAAATTATGATTTTCTGTGCAAGATTTTGATTTTATACCGTAAAAAGCTTGGGAGTAAATTGAAAATGGTTGTTTATTCCAGTTGAACGTATTTCGGAGGTGTGTTTCGTTATGTAATGGTTGAATCAGAAGCAATATAGGAGGTTGCTTAAGTACAGGCTTAAGGTTTCCTACCGAAAGTATTTTGGCGTGCCGAAATACTTTCGGTAAATTCATCGTGCCAAAGCGTGAAATCGAAATCCCGAAAATCAAAAATCATATAACTCCAAAAAAATTAAAAGTCCATCAAAAAAATGCCCTAGTAGATCAGTATCAAAAAGTTTTGTCGGAGTGTGTTACATAAACTTTTCTGATCGTGTAACGAGCGCTGAGGTGTCATTTTTGATAACCTGTATTTTTTAATTCTCAATTTAGTTAAATTTTACTTTCTACTATCAAATAAAGTTGGTTTGGCATTATTAGTGATGGGACTTCCGAGTTATTAGTTAATAACGAAAAAATTAATAATTAGTTATTAACAATTATTAACTATTAATAATTTGGGTCATTGTTAATAAATATTATGCAGGAATATTAATAACTGCAGATATATGTAATTGTTTTAATTGTTTGCTAAATTATAATGATAATAAATTTATAGTTTTCAAGTTGTGTTAAAAAATTTTTGAATTAAAATGTCTTCTCAACATAATAAAACGTCTTCTCAATGTAAATTTGGCAGAAAAAAAAAAACTGATCTGGCGGTGGTTTAAAGAAGGTGAAAAATTTAATAGTTTACACTATTTGGCTCAATGTAATTTCTGCAATGAAAACTGTCCCAGTGAACCTTCAAAAATGAAAAAACATTTATTAGAAAGATGTGAAGATATTCAACAAGATAAACGTAATAATATTAGAGACATTTTAAAAAATAGCGAAGTAGATAAATTACAAAAAAATGATTCGTCATTTTAAACTGATACTGATGATAATATGGATTTAAGTAGTAAACAAGAAATTGAACCTATTTTATTATCTAATGGTGAAAAAGTAGCTATTAATCATCAACTACTTAGAGTATTAATTTTAGCTAATGCTCCATTATCATTCATAGAAGATGCTGAAGTAATTAAATTATTTCGCATATTAAAGCCTGAATATAAGCTTCTTTCTCGTAAATGGATAAGCATAGATGTTTTAGATAATATACATGAAAATGTGCAGTGTAATATTCAACGTTTTATATCTGATTCAATGTTTTTAACACTATCTGGTGACAGATGGACGAATGTTTCAAAAAACAGTATGTTGAATTTTATTATAACAAATGAAAAACATGAAAGCCAAATTTTAAAAATAGATAATTACTCTCACTTACGTTATACAGGAGACAATATGGGCTAGGTGCTGCAAAAAGGGACCAAATTGACAATTTTTTCAAAAGATATTTTTTTACATAAATCAATTTAGAATAAGATTGGGGCCATTTTTTAGCTAAAACACAAAGTAGTTGTATCAATAAAATTTTGCTATATTGCTCTTTAAGGTTTGCATTTTCTTATGATTTATTATGAGATTTATAACATAAAAATTGATTTTCTGAAGATCTTTTGTTTTGTCAATTTGGTCCCTTTTTGCAGCACCTAGCCTATATATTTAAATTATATAAGAAAGTTGGAATGAGTCTTGGTTTAAACAAATAGATCGCATTTATTTCAGATAGTGGATCTGATTTTAAAAAGGCACAACGCCTTATACGTGAGGTAAATAATTATAGTTTTTTTATATATATATATATTTATAATATTAATAATACATATTATACATAATAGAATCATGAAATTGGCAATAAAGTTCTAACGATTCCATGTATGGCACATCAAACCAACTTATTAGTTAAAAAAATAGTCGAATTAACATTTTTCAAACCAGTTATTAAAAAAATGTTGATAATTATCAATCATTTTCGAAATTCGAATCTTGTATTATCTAAATTAAAAGAATTAGCTCGTAATGAAACTTTAAAACTTCAATATCCATATATCACCCATTGGGCAACATTTACAAAAGCATCAGAAACTATATTACAAATTCAAACAAGTTTGAAGGTAATTTATATTACATGTATATATAAAATTCTATTAAATATAATATATAAACTTACTATATATAATATTTTTATGTAGGTTATTGCATTTATGCATTCGCATTGTCTAATCTCACAAGAAAGCAATCTCATTAGTATAATTAATGATAATGAATTCTGGATAAATCTTGAATCATTTCATGCATTATTAAAACCATATGATTATGTTATAAAAATTCTTGAAACTGAAACAGCTATATTAGGTCAAGTAGCTGCATCTTGGGCCTGGCTTCGTGAAACTGTTTATAGAAGCCCATTTACCAATAATGATTTTCAAAACTCATTAATTCTAGAAATTAATAATCGGTAGGAAAAAATATTTAATCCAGTTTATTTAATTACTTGGTTTCTTCATCTATATTATTATGGCAAGAGATTAAATCCATCGTGGCTTTTATATATTCAAGAAAATGCATATAGCTTGTTTTGTACTTTTTATCCAGATCATGATCAAGATAAATTTATTGATGAATGGTTAAATTATGCGAATCAAGAGGGTCCATTTTCAGCTTCTTCCATATAAAATACAAGCTTTACAAAGTTTCCATTACGTTATTGGCATACTATGCTTCATGTAGTACCAAATTTAAGTGAATTTGCATATCGTCTTTTGTCAATTCCACCTAACTCTGCAACTTCTGAACGGGTATGGTCTTTATTAGGTAATATATATACAGAACGATACAATAGTTTATCACCATCACGATCAGCAAAAATGGTACAAGTATCTTGGTATATAAAACAAAAATCTATTCCAATTAAAAAAAAGCTTCAAAATTCTAAAAAACAAGAATTTAATAAAATGGAAAAAAATATTTTAGATAGTGACGACGATGATGATGAAAATAAAGGTGATGATATAGATGAATTTATGACTAATTTAAATCAAATTTCTGACAACTTAATAGACGATATTCATATGTTTGATGTAAATAATGAAGAGAAAATTCCAATACTCACGGATATTTTTGATTCAAAAAGTGTTGAAAAATCTCTAAATTTTTATGTTCAACAATCGTATGTATAGAATTATTTTAGGTTCAAATTTTATAATTATAAATTCGCTTTGACCATATTAATAAAATATAGGTATTGGGTCATTGATAAATTCATAAAATCCTGCAAATTTATATTTTATTTTATATTAAGAATTAAGATCGGTTTTGATAAATTCGCTTTATCAAAAAAAAAAATTGTAAAATAAAATTTACTGGAGTCTATAATCTTAGACATCTTAATAAAATGGAATTTAGCCCACAAGTATTTGAACAATTTTGTGCACAAAAGTATATACATGGTACAAATTAGCTGCGCCGCATATTAACCTGTACAAATTTGCTATGCCATATATTATTAATTAGTTTTTAGTTAATAATTCGACCAAATA